TGTTGAGCTGCGACAGCAGTTTACCGAACTCTTTACCTACCTATAGGATTTTCAGCAACCAATAATATATCTATTATTTACATAGCACGCATACCTACTTACCGTGGGCCTGTGCACAATATAATAATATTTTACATTTGGTCGGGATCAAGAGAAAATAAAAAGCAAAAAGAAACGTTTAACCTCGGGAGACTCCATTAACCGCGCGTTTTCCGTGGCGCACTCTTCGCCGCCGCTAATGACACTGCCGTTTTATTGTTACGTCTCTTTTATTATACTTTTATTTTTTTTTACGGATGTTTACGCATTTGGTCCACCCCACTCGTGGGACCCTCTCCCCGATACTACGAAAGTATAATACATACGTATTTACATACTGAGTGTCTCGCCGCGATGGTTTTTCCCCACAAATAACATTTCTCAATTATTTTTTGTTTTTAATGAAATTGTATGTATCAATGACTATATTATTGCTGATCGGATAACCTCGTTTATTTACTTTTTTTATTATTTTTTGTGGTGCAGGCACAGTTTGCGGTGCAGTTCGATGTAGTTAGACATTAAAAAGTGAATTAGCCAATTTAAGTAATTAATTTCCATGATGTATTTTCTTACTGAAGTTATAGAATCGAATGGATTTTTAAATGAGAAACAATGGTGAATTATGTGGTGGTAGGTACTTGCATTTAATATTCGTATATTTAAGAATCAGCACAACTCTATGAATAGCGAATACTATTTATGTGTTACAGTTAATTTTGTTAAATAAAAACCTGTAGGCCAAACAAATTACAACCAACTTTACGTCTCTAACTTTTTTAAACGCATTTTCAGGTGAAACATACAAAACTTTCACCCACAAAGAAAAATGATTGTATATTCAGTACAAAATGTAATACATATTATAAACTTTATAACCATAAATGTAGGTTCGTGCTTTGTGCCTAAGAAAAATAATTTACAGTTATTTTGTATTAAAGAAAAAAATCAAATTATCAAGTTCATTAAAACTAATTTCATGCATCTGTTTCGGGCTTTTGTTCTCTACGCAGCAACTGGACTTCAATATATTCTAGGCTATAGGTCATAGCCCATAGGTATCAGGAATTTTTTAATTAGATGCAGAGTTGATAGTCACCTAATGTTAAATGTTAAAACAATTCAAATTTATTCAGGACACCCAAAGTTTAATAATACATAATACCTACTAAGCTCAATGCTGTAGTACCTATATATATATATACGGTCGTGGAGAATCAATTTACATCGCATTTGAAATCATAATTAAAAATATCACGGTATTGTAAACTTCCGAAATTCTTGGAACTGGAACTACTATTTAATTTTCTTTGCAAAGTACCAAATTGGAAAACCACTTTCAACATCTGATCAGAATCTAAATGCATTGATTTTTTTTTACTTTAATAGTAGTCCATTGGATAAAAAGGTACCTACGTGTTTTTTATGAACTTTAGCAGATTTTAATGCTGTTTTTAATACATAAATGTTGCAGTAAAAGTAATAAATTCTATGATCACTATGTCTGATCTATGTTCTATGTTCTTCTAATGTTGATTTTTATCATTATACTTTGTTTATATTTATAACACTTGCCAAATTACATACATTTGCAGTTTTCGCGCAATTAAGCACCACGCGAATCCGCCCACGAAAGGCGCAAACGGCACGCGAGCACTCACCGCACATTTATGATTACTATCGCCATTATCGTTATCATTATATTAGTATTATAAATAACTATGTACGCGATATTATGCGTGAGCCCACACACTGACACACGCAATTGGCGAGGCGCACGCGGGCCCCGGGGCACAATATTATTGAACGTCGTCGCGGCGGCGCGCCGTCGTCCCGCGTTTTATTTTTTCGACACAGCAGTCCGCCCCCGCACGATTGCCAGCGAAACGGGACAGTTAACGAGACTCATAAGCACTAGGTTTGTATACAATATTATATGCGTGTCTATTGTGTGAGCGCATAGACGTTGTTTGTCCACGTGCCACTGTTTGACTCGCACACGACCGGTGGGTGCAGCATTTTTGTATAATATTATACATATAGAGTTCATAGTTAGGTATTGAGTCAAAAGTTTTTTTTTGTCGTTATAAAAACTCATTACCTCGGTACGTGTACCGGTACATGATTGCCAATGCTGATTATGGTTACATGATTATTGATTATTGATTAGGCCTCGGAAAATAAATTTTTTAAATATATAAGCTACGAAAAAAGTACTCACAATTTATTGATTATAATTTATATTAATAATTGTACCTACCTATACTATATTCTGAACTTGTCTGATACACTCCAAATCAAATGTTATGAGAAAATGAGTGTTATCCATTACAGACACGTATTCAAAATTATTTTCGGGAGGATTTATTTAATTGAAAATATAGTTTGTAATTCTAGGTAGCTGATAGTATATAATAGATAATAATATGTTATATACTTAGTATAAAAATCACTGATTTACTATTATGAACAAGGTAATGTAGATAGGTACCTACCTACAAATTATTAAATACTAGCGATGTTACCCGGCTAACCAGTATTGCATTTAACTATCTAAATGACTAAAATAATAATAGCTATCGTTGTTTAATATGTTATTAATAACGAAATTTTCGCGGAAAATTCCTCAGATGTAATGCTTATTGTATTATTCGCAGATTCTAGCAATATCATATTTAAATTCCACTAAAATATATAACCCAAAACAAACTCAAAGTTGAAAATTTTATCCTTTCTAAAACAATGATTGACAAAAAAAAAAGGTTTGAAAAATAAGGAATTTAATAAAATGATAGGTATCTATATAAATAATAAATAGTTTTGTTTATTTTTTTTCAAATTGTTAATTCTAATCCAAATATTTTTTTTCTGTGCTTATATAATAAGTAGATTGCCATAGTTCCTTCAGGGAGGGAACATACTTATAAGTGGTTTTTGGTTGTGTATAACTATAGTGCCTATTTATATATGAAGTGATATAAACGGATTGTTTTATGGCTGTTTTCGATCAATTATTGCTTATGGGAATCGGAACGGACAGTATCTATAGTTTTTGCCACAACAATGGTTAATGGACATAAGACAAAACGTTTTGACTGGAATTTTTGGGTTTTCATTAAATTGAACTTTTTGACAGAACCTCCCTCAATTGGATGCAATACATCAATATGGACATCTAGCCATTGCCCATTGTGTTTGATAACAGGAACTTCTAAATACCTATTTCAGAGGTTAACAACTAATTTCCATAAGCGTCCATTTCGAAACCTAAGAAACTCTCCGCTGTCCAAACAGGTTCAATAACTTTTACACACAAATTATTTGTGTTTAGTCGCATAATGTCTTTTCATATTTTAACTTCTGATGATGGCTATTGTTTGTTGACAAATCAAACAGACAAGTAATAAGCTCCAACACGATTACGTAGTGTAAAGCAATATAAATCAGTCCATTCTGGGCGAGACTGACGATTTTTGGCTTCTACTTGTCTTTTTTTCCTTTCCATATTCAATTTTTACAAGAAAAACTGACAATAACTAGAAATATCAAAAACGAACAGAACATCAATACACACAGTGCAGTAAACTACCATTTGAACACTATCCTATACTCGGAACTCGTCCGTCGCTCCGCATTCGGCTTTTATACCTACTGCGAACTATCACGCGTCCTAAGCAGGCAGACTTCTGAGGCAGACGGCACGATCTTATATTATTATTATTATCGGATTTAAATTTTAATATTATTTATTTAATTTAATCTCATTGGCTGTCCCTCATTAATGATTATTAAAATACAGATTATTTTCAATTACTTAAATAATTTTTTTATCGTGTAACCTAAATTTTAGATGACACATATTTTATAGTTTCTATATTTATACTATACAAATTTAAAAACGGATAAGGGTTCATAAAAAAAGTGTTCACTGTCCTCTAGATGGTGACCCCTGACCTATTTAGTTTAGTAGTTATAGTATGCTAATTTCTCACTGCGTGGTAGTCTTAGATGATTTGGATAGATTTATGAAATAGATATAATTAATAATAATCATATTTTTAATAACTTATGTTAGTTTTTATATCATAATTGATTAGAGTTGTAAATGACTCTTTATTTAAAAATTAAAAATATAAAAATAAATGGTATGTATTTTCAAATTGAAACATTCACGTCGCAGGCCGATTATACTATAATATATTATAATTATACGAAAGTAACCAGCTGTTCGGTTACGATCTTCTTAACAAAATAATAATTTAGGTAGATTTATATTAATTATAATACTGTATGTGTACCTATGGATGTTTAATGTGCGATTGTATGAGCCATGAGCGTATTATTACATCGACGTGTTTGTTCATCGTGATTGTTGTGTTTGAATTGCTCATTTAAACCTACCGGAAAAACAAAAGCTATGGAAAAAAAGGTATAAGGTATGTAAATAGGTGATATGGATAAAAGGCTAAACCCAATAGCACCGATTATGTCATCATCGATGGGACCAGTGGCGGGCGACTATGTGTGACGACGGGTCGAGGTGCAGCGAGCATGTGCACCGTCAATACAGTATATAATAATATATAATACCATACAAGCAGTGTTTATGTGCACATATTTTTTTTTTTATAAATATAAGGGGGACGAGATAATTACACGTGTTATACATATTTACTGGAACGTCGCCGAGGGGCATTTTCAATAAGCGCAAGAGTGTGCGTATACGCGTGTCAGTGTGCGTTTTTTCCGCGATTACACCCTCTCTCGGGCGATAAATCGACAACACTCCGCAGTAATACGACGAATGCGGTCGTCTCGGCGGGCGCGTCGACCCTTCGTGCCGATTACCGCAAACACATGCGCACTGTTTGTGTTCGTTTGTAACAAAATAAATAAAAATGATAAATAATAATAATGATTACGATGATAGTAAAATAATCAGTAGGTATGTGTATACGTACAATATTATGTGGGACCGTGTACACCACTTCACCGAGGATGTTTGCCGCCGGGATTTCGCACCGCTCCTCCAGGGACTTGACTATTAAACATATATATACATAATTATTACATGTTATCCGTTATATATATATATATATGTATACTGGAGAGCAAATTTCGGAAGCGACGATCGGGCGGAAAACTATCTATATTATACACTTGTAAGTTATTAGATACAATGTATAATATTGACATTGGGAGGAGCAGCAAATATGTTATGCTGCGAATCGCAGTCATTAATGTACACAGCTACATTATATATAGGTTTTATTATATCCTTATAATATTATATGCATCTCGCCATATGTCCGCAACAATCTAAACAAACCCAATACTCGCCCGCGAGCTAGTGATTTTAAAGCTGGTGCTTTACCGATGAATTTCTCCGGGACCATATGTGGCCCCGAGGCCAGTCTAAACTCCACTGACGATTATAATATTATCGTTTACCGTGTGCAATAAACAAATCGAATACAAACAAAATCCGCATACTAAAACTAAAATATGCTATAACGCATACTTGCGTTTACACGATGAACGTTGATGAAACCATCTCCCTCGTTATTTATAAATAAGAGATTGCAGGGAAATAGAGTCTAAAAAATAAGGTACCCGAGTACACGCATTATATCTGTGGGAAAATGTTGAGTCCGACTAGCGCGAGGAAGATATACGGTAAACAATAAGGTAAACTAAGTAGTAAGAACAAAAATATTGTTATTAATATTAATCAAGTAAGTCATTATTACAATATTTGGTCACCAGGTTATTTCCAAACCAATTGTTTTATTTTAGGACAACTGACAACAGAAAATCAATTACAGAATTATAAAGGCTGTGACATGTGGTTATCGCATATGCTTAAAAATTATAAATATTACAAAAATCAAACCACTTATTGGAGACTATACAGTCAACCTTCTCGTGGTGTTTCCCAGGTAACACTAATATACTGTTTAAAATTTAATATTTGGTATGAATTTGTCAAGGAATCTAATCATTCAAAAATTAAAATTATTTTAAGCCCGGGGCGATGTTTAGAAAAATGTTGGTTTCTACATGGTATAGTCGGTTAAAGGTTTACTAAACCCGGTATATACTCGTACTATATAATATAGTATTTACGATATACCATCTAATACGCCTGAGTATACAGTAGTTTGAACAATAAGCACTCATTAGATCTGACAGTATCAATATTTTCAAAAAATGTTCTCTTTGAAAAATCTATAAAAAAATATTTTTAAAAATGTTAATACTTTTCTAGATGATGAGAGCTTACAACTGTTAATAGAATCACCCTGTGTACTGCTATACACCACAACACCAGCACTTGCCTATTGTCGGGGAAATGGAAAACCGTCCATTGTAAACAATCCAATATTGTTAGTACTTGAATAAAAACATTTGAGTAAAAGTATTCAAATACTTTCCAAGTTCTAAAATACATATTTTAAATACTTTTTAAAAAGTGCTGGGATGTATAATATTATAAATACTTTCTCAAAGTATCTAACTCAAAAAATTTAAAACTAATAAGTTTTTTCTATTATAATAAATAATTTACTATGCATGAGAATACAATATAATTAAATATATCGAGGATACAAAAACAAATTTTAATTTCTACTCACTGAATCAATAAATATGACGAATTCACCGTTGTACATTTTTCGATTACATTATGGTAGTTTTGTTTTTAATTCAATAATAAGATCAAAATTTTTTGTGTTTTTTTATAAGAATAAAAAAAATTTTAATATGTCCCCATTGGATATAACTTTACTTTGACCAATGACCAACACCAACTTCAACTTTCAGGAGAAAGATGATGTTGAAATAACCATGAACCAATGCCCAATAGAATAGATTTTAGTTTAACTTTAACAGTCTAGGAAATCTAAAGATCGAACCAATGCGTCCTATAATAATATCATAGTAAGTTTATAAAAAAATTGTTAATTATTATAATCTATTTCATAAGTATTAAAATTAAATATGTTATTGAAACCAAAACAATATATTATTTATTTATTTATTTATTTATTCTTGAGAACAAATATATATTCTTTTAATATGATACAGCTATTTTTTCAGTAAAATTGATACAATACGGTCGAGAGCCAAGAGGGCTTATATACTTACTTAGGACTATACATTCATTTCTCAAGTTCTTCCAAAATCAATTTGCACAATTATTTAGTGCGCTACAAAAATTACACGCCATGAATTTGAACAATCTATTCAAAAACGTGCACGGCAACGGTTTACCAGGAAAATTAAATTTTCGGTGGGCGAGGCAGGACTAACGTTTTTCCCGGCTCACCCACGTTAAAAAAACTTGTTTATAACAACTTTATACAACAGTTAAGTCAACGGTTTTCTTACGGTTATTTATTCAAACGAGTACAATTCTACAGTGACGCATTTACCGGGAGGGAAGATCGAGGGGTTTGGCACCGACCCTATCGAAAAATCTTAAATACACCTTACGATACAATACCTAACTTTTGTTTACTTCTTGCTACATTTAAATATAATACAGTTACAATAAAAAACATTTTTTTTTTAACACTGAGATGCGTACTGTGAAATAAATAACTTTCACATCATTGTGCGCGATCGACTGGCAGAACTAATCATTTCAATTATTAAACAGTTATCAAAGTGAATGAATACGTTGAGATGATTAAAAAATAGTTTCACCGCAGGAACTATTTTTGTGGATACACAACTAATTTAAAACGTATTTACTACTATTGGTATACTGGTATATTGACATCCACCCGAGTAGATAACCAACCTAGCATTTAGCTAAATGAAACAACTTTTATACTCTAATATGGTATAATTATATACGCAATTAGCTTACATAAATGTTTTAATGGATGGTAATTTATTTTTTAAACTTGTTTAAAATATATTGCGGATAATTAAAAAATAATATGAAGAACATTTGTTTACCGAGGGTAAGTATACCTCCTAATTATTTTTTAATTTAGACACTACCCCACAAAAATAATAACATCCTGCCAAAATCGTGAAACTTTTACCCGCCAAGGTAATAGTAGGTACCAAAAACTGATAAACAGAACCTAATTAGTTCAACATAGAAACCGAAAACTAATTTTTTTCTTCTACAATACTATTTGAATACAAATATATGTTCATTGATAAACGATGATTCCGAATTTATTTTAAATTTTTAATACAGGACATAAGACACACTATAATATTACAAAGATGTCCTACCTTTTGGGAAAACTCCACCACATTAAGGTGTTACATCTTAATTTAATTTTTAGTTTTCTATAGATATTTTAGTTTTTAAGTGAGTTATATGAGTATTTTTAATTTACGCTTTATTATATAAGCAAAACTTGCTTGAAAATTGAGCGATCATAAAAAACTCTTATACAAACAGATAATTTTCTTAACATCAAGTTTCATAATAGGTCACGATTCACTCTAATTTTTTAACTAATGCAGATAAACGTGATCTGCTGAGCGTAAATTTGGTATGTTACGCACTTGTAAGACGGAGATAACAAATGCCGGTGTAAAGTCCTCTTAATAATGAATCATTATTAATGATTAATATTTGTAAGACAATGGTGAGACCGTATAATAAGGAGCATTTATATTTTAGGGGAACACATTTTATCAGCCACATTCCCTGCGAACAATCGAGATAGGTTAGTAATAAGATTATAATAATACAGTAATATAAACTTCAGTGTTGGAACCACGATCTCATCGGAGTAGGTATAGAAATCTTGATTGAAAGTCAAACTGTGTACTCATGTAACTCGTGTAATATCATGTAATATCAATATTAATATTAGTATTATGTCATCTTACAAATGCACGTTGTTAAATCATATAATGGAAAAACACGACGACGGATTTGTAAGCAACACACGAAAATTGGACAGATGATTACTATCGTTGTGGGTAGGTGGTAGTTACATGCAATATTTTATGTGTGTGTCTCTTGTGCGAGTATATTGTTTTATAGGGGAGAGACAGCACGTAATATATATATTTCGGGCAAATCGAAAAATTATATTATTATCGTTCGTCGGCTCTAGGGTCGGCAATATCGAAATATTGAAATACAGTACCTATAAAAGTATATTTGATATCGTAATAATAATAATATGATCTTATGCCGTACTCGCGCGACGAAATCATTCGTTGTCGCCCCGCGCGCGATACGGTGGTTGTAATGAGCCGCCGCGGCTGTCACCGCACGTCAAAAATAATCGCATTTACCCGATTAAGTGCGTTGGCCCGAGGGATTGGCCCCGCGGAAAACGACGGGTGGGCGGGAGAAAGAAGAAGAAGAAAATAAGGGTCGAAATTCTATTTAACCGCAACGGCGGCGCATTAAAATATTTCGTTTCTGCTCATGAAGTGTCCCGAGGGTCCACTCGCGTGTGATATGTTTTTATCGTCATCGTCGTCGTCGACCGGAGTCGGGAATCGGAATCGGAATCGGGGAGTCGCAGTCGTCGTCGCCTCGTCTATATCTGCACACACCTCTCTTTTGTCCACCCCCGCAACCCTTCACGGTCGCTGACGTGACACACGTACGGACGAGGGTGTGCGTGTATTGGGGAGGGGGGTATTGTCATCGTGTCCATTATTTATTTTTTTTTTCAGTCTGTTTTCAGACCGCTTTTTTTTTAATTAAAACCCCGGCACTCGACCGCGTGTTTGTGTGTGCTAAAAAGGACAATTATTGTCATTATTTTCAGTCCTATATATGTACGCGCCAAGTATATAGACGTTGTACCGAGCAGGCCGATGTAAATCGACAACGGAAGTGATTAAAAAAAAAAATAATAAATAGTAAAAATAAAACTACACATCTTGTATAGAGTACAAAAAACGCTCACACGCACGCAAAACCGGATTGGGAAACAGCGTTTTATACTTGTATGCCACGGTGGTGGTTGACAAAAACGATGCGTCTCCATCGTTTCTCTCGTAATAATTTATACATGTATTATTATCCCACACGTCTCGTACTTCAAT